CTCAGCCATTTTCAGATTCTTTGTGAATAGGTCTTACTGAGTTAGGAGTCCTCTCGAGGACTTTTAAGCTCTCCTAAACTTAGGTGCTACTTTTAGGCCTAAAATACTTTGTGAATTGCTCTTAGTGAATAAAATTAGGAGTCCTAAATGTAAGACTGACACGCCCATTATGTTTAGGAGTTTCTCCTAAATTCGCCAGTTAGGAGCTACTTTTAGCCCTACGATCCTTTGTGAATACGGCCCCTGGGGCCGTATTCACAAAGCATTTTATCTTACCGCTAGGAGTGCTCCTAACTCGCGCTAAAACATTTTACGTAGGAGTTTTTTCTTAAAAGTTATTCACAAAGCCGCTGAGACCTACTCATACTAAGGATAAATCACTAAGAGTGAACTAAGAGTGACGCGCCGTTGCTATGGATGTCGTCGATTCTCGTGCATGAGTTTAGAAGCGGTCAGTACGGTGATTGGTTGTTCAGAGTAGGCGGTCTCGGTGAAACTCATCCACAACATCCCACAAACGAGCCCACTAAATCACCGAAAAACAAGGAAATAGCCTAGGCTAGAAATGTATTCCTATCAAATAGTTATGGACAGTGCAGTTAGCAGAATACACGCATGATGACAAGTTTGTGCAGACCACGATAATGACGTTGTATATGCACGTTAAAGAGAGAGAGCAAACAATAAAAATACGTAAATTGCATTAAATCGAGGAGGCAATTAAAAGCACCCTGCAAACTATTATCCAATGAGCATATTTCCAGCACTTAAACACTTTCAATAACAGCCCATACCGCCGTTCAAGTCCCCCTATCATGATGAATGAAAACAATCTGCGTGTTGATGGAATGTTCTTTCTTTCTATTGACGAACACGTCCTCATCTTTTGATGGCGCAATTATTTTTATGTGCGTCCCGTCAATAGCACTGACCACACCGGGCATACCTGCAATTGCCATGAAGTTGGCTTTGATCCTGTGTAGTTGCTGATTGTCCAAAGGAAACCGGATAAACTGTTGGATGATATGTGGTCTAGAGAGCGCGTTGATGGTTTGGTTTATGGCACGGCTGACTGATGGTTGCGATATTCCTAAATCGTCGGCATTGCAAAGTTGCATTTTCCCTGTTGCTAAATATCGTAGTGTTGCCAAACATTTTATTTCCGGACTAATCGGGTTATTCCTGTTAGTCGGGGATGTTATTGCACCCCGCACTAATTCCACAACAAGTTTGATACCCTCACGATTTAGCCTATATCTCTTGATCAATTCACAGTCTTCCATTGTCTCCAAAACATTTCGTCTCGCAGCCATTTTCAGATTCTTTGTGAATAGGTCTTACTGAGTTAGGAGTCCTCTCGAGGACTTTTAAGGCCTAAAATACTTTGTGAATTGCTCTTAGTGAATAAAATTAGGAGTCCTAAATGTAAGACTGACACGCCCATTATGTTTAGGAGTTTCTCCTAAATTCGCCAGTTAGGAGCTACTTTTAGCCCTAAGATCCTTTGTGAATACGGCCCCTGATCTTTACCACTATGGTTTACAGAGGGACCATTTTTCCTCACAAACACGCATGAATGCTCATACATGCATAGGTTAGCCCAGGTCACGTTCAGACAAGGTCATGTTGTTGACGTACAGTAGGAGTGTCAGAGGAGTCGGTGTTGGATGTCCCCACAGGTCCACAATAACAGCTCACTCAAAGCAGCTTTCCACCTAATCTCCTCTGTCACGGCGACATTAAAGTTGCATTGTTACAAGGGACAGCTCAAGTGCCACCCAGCCCTGCCTCATTGGTACATGCTGCTCATTTGCTGTTTCTCCGTGACGAGGACACTGCTTCTTTATTCTAATTTTGGTACGATTCATATCCTTAACATATAGCTTTGATCAAATGTTGGATAACTTCCTTAGAAATCTCACAACGGTCAGAGTATTCAACGAGGTATTTTATGCAGCAAATGTCTTGAAAAACAAAAACACCCTGTGTGTCTTATCATCTGAGAAAGCAATCTTTTATACTCTAGCATAAAAGCGAGCTCCACAGTAGGGGGACTTGTAAATTCACTGAAACAGTAGGCTACAAGGAACTGGCAAATCATTATGTCAAAAAGGAGTTGTTGCTTGGGGACGGAGGGAGACAGAAAGAAAAGGAATAGGCAGGCACGACGGCAGATAAACATTGTTGCACATCAAAGCCTTTATAAGAGAAGGACATCAGAAGATTCGATCCTTTCAGCAGCGTGGAGAGACACGTATGCTGCCGGGGATCTACAAGATTAAAGCGGGCTCCAGAGTGAGCTATTGATTGATTCAGGTTTTTCTGCTGGAGCTTTATTGTTTATAGTGATGCAAGCTAATTCGGCAAATAACAAATCAAATCAAAAACCCACGGGCAGTATTTAGCTAAATAAAGATAATGTATTAGTTTCAATTCTTGAAACATCTATTGCCTAAAGCACAAACACTTTTTGAGGAGGAAAAATCGAAAAACTGATCTTTTTTTCCTCCAGCATATGGGTGCACAATTGGGTCGGAAGATAAGCAAGCCCCTGTGGTCTGTGGACAGATGCAATCCATCCCTGGCTGTGTTGATGTCCTCTCCCATCTTGTCTCTCTCACAGGCATGCGGTGATCAGACAGTGACCTGTGCAAAAGCTGCTATTCCTCCAGGATGCAGATGAGCAGAAAATGATAGCAGTGCTTCCCTGACATCGTTAGATAACCTGTGAGTATTGTTTTGCAGAGAGGATGAGGCAAGGATTACCAAAACCAACACAATTAATATGGGAGGTAAAGCACTTTTAGGTTAAGTGTATTGAAAAACTATAATTTTGTGTGGGCTTAATGTTAAAGGTCAAGCTTTATTTCAGGTACTGATCAGTTATAATGAGAAAGTTAATAATGCATAAGCTTGACATTACTTCTAATTGACTTTTGTGATTTAATCAATAAGACATCTTCAAAAATATAATCAATATGAATGGGCTTGTAAAAGCACATTGCTGATATGCGAACCTGCACCTCTGTGTGAGTGTTAATGTGTGGATGTCTCACGTAAAAAACATGACGATGCTCTAACTTTGTGTCGGTCAGCGATTCAACGGTAATGATGAGCCAGGTGTCTGTCCTTTGGCTAGCTGCCTGGAGATAGCATTAGATTAGACTGTCAGGCAGGGTGGAGGGGCGTGAGGCATAGACGCTGCTCAGTGGAACAGACGTGACACGGATTTCATGAAACGCATCAATCATGTCATTGGAATATAGCTCGGACATGGTCGCAATATCATGGGTTAGAGCTGCATTATGACAAATGTCAAATTGAAGGATAGGGGGGAGTGTTGTCTATCTACAGTGCACTAAGCAGCTTCCACACAGGGCAAAGTGCAGCTCTTCAAAGGGTCTTTAACATATTTCTACATTATAATAATTGGCAAATGTTATTATGTTCTTTTTGTTATTACTTCTTTATATTCTCTATTTTGTGTCCTTCTTTTGTCTCTCAGAAACACCTTAAAAAAGTACACTTCACTTACTCATTGTACTCCAAGTAGTTTCAAGCAAATTTAGATTTGAAATGACCCTGAAGAAATCAAAGGTTTGAGAAAAGTCTGAAAAGATAAACACTGTTTGTACCATGACATTTATTTTCTTATTTCCCTGTTTGTTATTCCTTCCACAACCCCTCATATTTCCTTTATTCGACTACACAATAAATGACCGTATCAAGAGCCAGCTTTGTCCTGTGACCTTGTGAATATAATCCAGAGCCATAAATTGAAAAGAGGGACAATACCTCCCGTGTCTTCTATAATTCAAAGTAATATTGTGGCAGCAACTGGATTTATTAGTGCATCTCTCATCTGATATGATGGGAGCTTATGGGACCCATCAGCAGCCATCATCTGGATTAAAACATACAAGGACTTTATAGCAATCCAGGATGCCAAACGAATAATTCTCCAATCAGCACAATGCAGTATAAACACGTGCACTCGCACACAAACACCCATACAAATGTCCCAATAAAAAACATCTGTCACTTCAGTAGTGTGCTTATCTGGCCCAGCCATGTCAGCGCTCTCCCATGGGAGCACAAAGGCAGCAGAGGCGTTTTATGCTCTGCAGATGAGTTGGCTGATATGCTGTTCAAACACTGTCTCTTCTTGCTTTTCCGTACAAAAACACACAAAAGACATGCCATTGGAGGTAATTAATGGGTTGATACAACCACACAAAAGCAGGATTCGGCTTGACTGCTCGGACTAAACACCACCCTCACTTCCACCACCACCACCTACACACATGCACTCCCTTCTTCCGCCCACACCTTCCTAAAAGAACCCCTAAGAAGCCACCAAGCCACCTCCTTTTCAACCTCCCCCCTCCCTCTCCTTCCTCCCTCTCACACTCTGTGGTCTAAGCTGCATGCTCACAGTCCCGAAACACGATGAACCATTCAGCCCTATGGGAATTTCTCCACCCAGCAAGCCAACGTCAGCTACATCTGTGTGTGTCAGCCAGAGTATAGATGCAGCGGCAGCAGCAGAGTGGCAGTAGCAGTGACTGGACTCAGGCGTCAGGCAGCCTCTCGCTGACGTTCTGCTTCAACTTGGTTGAGAGGCAGTTCATCAAGCTCAGCTCAGACTGGGAAGAAAGTTCTCTCCTGTCCTCTTTCTTAGGTTCCTGGGTAGATTATACTCGTGTATGAATGACCAAGTAAGGATGCTGTGCAACTTGAGGATACTTTACTCATCGAGGTGCCTGTGTTGAATGGAGGGAACGTGATGCTGTGCTCTGCGCCTCTTGAACAGGGATGACCGAATCCTCCTGGCTGTCCACCCTCCTCTTCCTCTTCATTCTCTTTTCTCCTCTCACAGTTGTACCCCGGACTCCTCTGGCATGCGAGGGTCAAGTCGGCAGGATTTTCGCATCCACCTCAATCCTCTCTCCAACTGTGTTGTGATCCTCAGCGCCACACTTGACCTGAAGGCTTCCCAGGCAAAACAAAGGGATTAACCGTGAACTTTACTCTCACCAGGATACACAACCTGCGCTTAAACAGAAGACTGTGAAACTGAAAGTCTACTGTGAGTATGTTCATCTTTCGTTTCCCCCTTCCCCCTTTACATCAGTGACTTGTTTCGCAGTCAGAGAATCATGATTGATTGAGTATGCACTTTTTGATTAATGCACAAAGGCATGACCTGGATTTCAGGGGAAACAGCGTCATGTGCGCACAAGTGCATGTCTGAGAGGTCTCGGCATGTATTTTTAATGTAGCCTTTTACCTTAATGAAGGCAACAGAGGATGTGCTGCCGGAAAGATGTGCATGCATCTGTCTTCTGGCAGACTTTATATAGAAAAGTGTATTATTAAATCACAAATTAGATACATGTTAAAGCCTATGTTAAGCTTATCTCTAAAGAGATTGAGGAAGTATGTGTTTGAGGGTCTGTAAGCCTCCCCATATAGCAGCATGTATATTTTATACCATCATCCTTCTTCCACTTATTTCTATTTCATATATTCTCCTAACCTATTTTTACCTACCCTTTACTCCCATTTCCTGTCAATTTGTTGTCTTAAAAATATCTTAAAATTCAAAAATAGTATCCTCATTTAATTTGCTGGTTCTAATATTTTAAATTCCTGTTTTTCCCAAAACAAAAAAACAAAAATTCAAGAGCTAAAGCACATCACTCTCACCTAATTTCTCCCTCTCTCTTTGATTAAGTGGAAATGACTAAACACGGAAGGATTAAGCAGTGAAGCGTGATTTTAACGAGTCCATCCTGTCCCCAGAGATGTTCTGAGGTGCTTCAACCAATGAACAAAGGTTCATGGGTTCTTTCAAAATAAAAAGTAGCCGCCATAAAATGAAATGGTTAGGTGGGTTTTGAAGAATCGTGAATGGATTGTAGACCACTAGCATTGACTGGCAATTTGACCCGTAAATTGTCTTTTTTAAATGTGATTTTGCAAATGTCCTGTAGGGAAGTGCTATAGCATCAGACAGATTTTAACTATATTATCAAACTGAGATAGTAGCTTAATGTTCATGTGTTTCTGAGTAAGTGCCTTACTTCCAACCATAACTGAAACTTAATATTTGAACAGCATGGAGGTTATTCCAACCATTACCCTTGTTTTTGCAGACATCATTACGGAGAAGATTGGGCGTGTTATGAGTTGGTGATATCAGACAACCCAGAGGCTCAAACAGAGAAAGACACTCACATTTAGAGAAATCTTCATTAAAGAAAATGCAAATGACTTCATAGCTAGATCATTATCCAAACGATGGATCATTAATGAAATGTTGTTGCTCATAAAAATGAACTCCTCGAGGCATTAAGCAAATTCGTTGTATGCCCTTCAGCAGCTGCCAAACCCACTGCAGGGTGTCCTTTAGCAGGTCATAATATCCATCTGATTACCATTTCCCAGCTGAGAGGAAATGTTTTTCAAAGTTTTTACTTGTTTTAAACTCAACAGTGGGGTACAATATTTAGGCTCTAAATACACAAAAAGAAGAAAAGTACACATCGTGTGCCACCAACAGTGACGCACTTATGAATATTTCAGGTTGCATGTTTAGGAGCCGGATCTTACATGTGAACATTTATAATCCTCTTTGCTTCTCCTCCAATGCCTGATTCACATAATTATTCAAGCATTTCTTGTGTCCTCATTCAGAAAGACACATATGCAGGAATCTTAACCATGGGTCAGTGCTGCTGACTACAGGATGCAAGAACTATTGTACCAAAAAGCTCTGGGCTGATTTGCACATCATACATAGATTGCTCTCCACGCAGACACACATGGTGTCCCTTGACTCCTTTGCTTTGACTTGCATCTCTTTGGCTCTCTCCTACTTCTTCTACTTCTTCTTCTGGTCTCTCTTATCTTTTTCCCTTTCTTCCACAAATGCCACACACATGCGCTTTCGTGTTTCCAACCAAAGGAGAGTGTAGAAAAAGGTTATGTATGACTGGGGGGCCCGGTGGGGGGCCGGTGTATGAAGCCACTGAGCAGGAGCACTGGTGGCCTGGTGCCAGAGGACCTGCAGGAAGCCACCCTTCAACATGTCCACCTCTGTACTCAGTGTGAAGGCTCTGAACCGATTTGTGCTACCTGCCTCACCGACTGGACACTGTTAATCAGGGGATCAATGACCATCACTTATGCATACAGAGCTAACAAGATATTTCAGGAGGCAGTCTAATACTCTAAGGATGTACATGTAATGAGTTTTCTGGGCAAGAGTGAATGCAAGACCTCTTTGCACCATTATATGGCACAAATGACTCAAGGGTATTTTATCCTCATACGCTGTATAACCCAATCCCAATATAGGCGATGTGCTATGAAATTCTGCAGCATTGCTTTTGTTTTTAAAACCTCCCCCATTCCTCTGACCCAGACAGCCTCACAAAGCTCTCCCCCACCGTAGGATACATTTGATTCCAAACTGCATCCCTGAAAAGTCCAACTAGAGGCCACACCGGACCATATGCACTATTTATAGTAATGCAGAGTCCATATTTACCCCACACTCTGAGTGTACCATTAAGACACTTCCTGCCTCGATTTAGAAGCTATTAGCAAGCTTGACTTTCTTTACCTGTTGAGGTCCGGAGGTATAAGTATTTTCTGTTTTTGTGAAAGCTTAGCAACACAACAGTCATCAGTGAGTCAGCAATTTCTATGTTTCTCAAATTCCTGCTGATCATTATTGTTTTACTTTTTTGTGGCATCAAAATTAATCACTGATGGTTCAGCCTTTTTGTCCTGGATAAGGGAACATATGCCTGGACTATTTTTATACCCACTGGGGTATTTGGGTTTAATTCCTACAACACTGCCTTACTGTATGTCCGTACAGTTTAAATTAATCATTGAACACTTCAGAGTGGCTACGCTGTCTATAAAAAATAAACGAATGGCTCTGTGAGGCTTCTCTTTATGTTCAAGCTACAAAATGCTTACATATGCATGCTAACGTCCACATGCTAACATGCTAACAATTACACTGCCAACAAGCAGACGTTTACTATTTAAAAGGCACAATTAGTGAAATGTGTCTGGTGTTTTTTTTAACAATACAAAGTTCAATAAATATCAGCACTAAATTTCATATAATTGATCCAATAGTTCTATATTTTACCGAAGACTAAAGTGGGGGGCCTTTCAACCAAGGTAGCAACACCAACCACCAGTTAAATGGAAAAAACGATATCTTAAGTTTAAAAACCAACACCATTTTAATTCATTATGAAGGTAAACAATTGGTACAGAATGATTATTCACCAGGAAATAGCAGATAGATCTGGGGATAGATTTATGCTAAACTAAACAGTGTTGATGTCGGGATTTTGAGTGATGTGATTTGAAATATCCTTTTACAACAAGATGAGAGCCGATACAAGTCCTGCAGGCGGACCCCCATGGTGACTGGAATGTTATTTGTGTGGGCTTCAGGCTGTTGGTAGCACTCCTGCAAACCTGGCACTGTCAAATAATTGCCAATGAGTGAGGAAGTTATTTCTCACCGGATATTGATGCTGTCCAAAGCAATACATTTTTGGTTAAAATTGCAAACAATTTAAGGAGTAGCTCTACAGAGAGCAGTTAGGAGAGTGTTTCCTAGTACATGAGAAATAAGAGATTAAGTGGAAAAAAATTGCAAAATACTCATAGGTCATAGTTTTCAGCAACCTTTGTTTCATGATCAATGCAACAGGGAAACTGCAGGGAGAAAACATCATGACCCTATAACACAGCCAGCGTTGCCTTTAAGTTCTTTGTTCTACGAAGTTGCCAACCTGGACCCGTGTGTTCAAAACAAACCTAGGGGACAACAGATTGTTATGCTTTGATGCCTTGGCTTTCATGACCTACAAATGCATGACAGTGCCATGTGGTCTTTCTCTTGCCTTGAGAGTTTTTATCAAATTTGTTGAAGCAGCATCAAATCCCCTCGGTTTGAGGGCAATTCCACTATTTGTAGTATTTGCATATGCAAATAATTATATTCTGTAGGGAAACAAAGATGGCCATTCAGACTAGTGTATATATATATATATATATATATAGTCACTATACAATGTTTGAGCTTGATGCTAGTCTCTGTGTATACTATTCTACAGTGTCATTTCCTCACTCCTCTCCCGGGGAATACCTCAGCCAACTGGACATTACGGCATTGGTATTTTAAGCTGTGCCACTTGCTCTGCTTAAAATCTGTACATTTCAGTGCCATATTTTACAGCCCAGCATCTGCGCCCTGTGCATGACCTTCCAAAAGCTTCTTTTAGTTTGGAGCATCAAAAAGTTTAAGTAATATCAGATCCACAGAAACAATCCTCAATGTAGTTTTTGAGTGTTGGTGCACAGGCACACGTGGGCAGAGAAACAGCATTACATGACCCCACCCCACCCCCCACCATTCCCACATAAGACCTGGAGTGTACAAGCGCTGCCATCAAAGGACTGTAAACCCCCAGCCACTATCGATTAGTGAGTCCAGCACCCTGGGATAAAAAATAGCATGCACCCCACTGTAATAGCCTGAGAGTGAAGGGGCCAATTGTGCTTTCATGTTAGTTTCTATGTGTGGACGTTGTTGGCTGCCCTCTAATGGTGCAGGGTGTGTTGATGTAAGTGATATACCACCTTGATAGTATCAGACATTTGCACCGAGCATGAACACTGTTTAATCACCCATGACAACAATGCTTAATCATTGTGTAAAACCAAGACGAGTCGGTATACTTGTGATTTTTAAAACCCAAGATTTACTTAATGTACTTAATTGTATACACGTACCTCTGTAATTATTTTGGAGACCTGGAAGTTTAAAAAAATTTGGAGTTCAACTGTTGTTCTAAAGAGGGAAATGATAACATATGCTAACTGAAAATGCTTCTGTTGATAAAGTGAATATATTGCACAACTATGGAACTGCACAGGCTTTCCACTCAGAAAATATCTGCTCATTTGATCATTTAGGGCCATAACTCTTAAACATTTAGTAAACACTGCAGAAATAGTATGCATGGCTGAAGTATTAGCTGGCAGCGAGTTTGACACGTAGGCAGATTTGTATGATTCACCAGACTCTAAGTTGGGCACCAACTGCATTTGTGAGTTCAAACACATTAAATGATTCTTTTGATAGTATTGGCTCATTTAGAGTTGGTTTTATTTTTGCTTGGTTAAACATTCCTAGTCAAGAACCCTAAAAGTAAAGCTAGTAAGCCCAAAGGAAAAGGACATAAGGACCAAATAAACCAAAATCACTATCATAATTTGTTTAATCAAGTTATGTCCATCTTAGTGAACTACAAATTGAGTTTATGCACAAGCACAACAGATTTAGAGCAAATAACACAATTGTGCAATGGCCTGGATTTATTTGAATGTGCCACAGATGTTTGCCTAAAACGCCATATGGGTATACTCACGTGAGCTTGATATAGTTGTGTGAGCTGCATGTAGTACAATAGCTTAACAGAATTCCTTAACGATGAGAGCAACAAATATTAGAGAAAACAAGCCTTCAGTAACATGATATATAATTGTCATCAGTAAATGCTATCCATTTGTTAAGCATATATGCCAAACACAAACATTAAGTCTCAAAAAGCAAAACACTATCCTTTCAATGTTCCTACTCCTTAGTATCTAGCCAAGCATGAGTGTGTGATGCTCAACATGATGAATTGATGCCATCCAGTGGCTATAAATGGAACATCTCTGTCTGAATGGCTCCAGAATAACATTTTTGCTTTCTTTTCTTACCAGGAGATCTTCTTGAAAATGAAAAGTCCCAACACTCTTGTCATGGTTGGATGCAAATAAACGGAAGAAGAAAATAGGAGATAGCATGTCGAACTTAACTGGAAATACCACAACGGATATTCACATGGTCAATCTCTGGGAGGTGATTACCATTGCCACCGTGTCGGCTATAGTCAGCCTCATCACCATTGTAGGGAATGTGCTGGTGATGCTCTCCTTTAAGGTCAACAGCCAGCTAAAGACGGTGAATAATTACTACCTGCTGAGCCTGGCAGCTGCTGACCTCATCATAGGTGTTTTCTCCATGAACCTGTATACCTCGTATATACTGATGGGCTACTGGGCCTTAGGGAACCTTGCTTGTGACCTGTGGTTGGCATTGGACTATGTAGCCAGTAATGCCTCTGTCATGAACCTGTTGGTAATCAGTTTCGACAGATATTTTTCCATCACCAGACCTCTGACCTACAGGGCCAAGAGGACTCCCAAACGAGCTGGCATCATGATAGGTTTGGCGTGGATGGTGTCACTTGTTCTGTGGGCCCCACCTATTCTCTGCTGGCAGTACTTTGTCGGAAAAAGGAATGTCGATGAGAAGCAATGCCAGATCCAGTTTCTCTCCGAGCCTGTGATAACCTTTGGGACAGCGATTGCCGCCTTTTACATTCCCGTGTCAGTCATGACAATTCTGTACTGTCGAATCTACAAGGAGACTGAGAAAAGGACCAAAGATCTGGCTGAGTTGCAGGGGGTTACTTATCCCACCGAGCCTGGGGTCCCCCCGCCTCAGAAGACCATTGTCAGATCCTGTTTTAGCTGTAAATTAAGGTCAACATCGCATGACAGGAATCAAGCCTCTTGGTCTTCCTCCAGCAGAAGCCATGCGGCCAAATCAGCAGCCACCACCAATGACGAGTGGTCCAAAGCTGGTCAGCTGACCACCTTCAACAGTTACGCTTCGTCAGAGGACGAGGACAGGCCAGTGTCACCAGGGGGATTGCAACCCTCCTTCAGGAACCAGGCTTGTGAGACCCTCAAGAGCGGAGTGGGCAGCGAGAGCGAGCAGCTTAGTAGCTATGAGGAGGATTGCTACTTTCAGACTCCGCCCAAAAGCAACTCTCAGAAGAGCGGCAAGTGTGTGTCCTACAAATTTAAGCCTGTGGCCAAAGACACTGACGTGGAGAACCACATCAAAAATGGAGACACCAAAATGGCATCATCGACTTTCTCCTCGGCTGAGTCCATGAGCGTTCCATCCACCTCCTCGACGGCGAAGACCATAGACGCCACACTGAAGAACCAGATCACCAAGAGGAAGAGGATGGTGCTGATCAAGGAGAGGAAGGCAGCTCAGACTCTCAGCGCTATCTTGTTGGCTTTCATCCTAACATGGACGCCATATAACATCATGGTGCTTATTTCCACCTTCTGCAAAGACTGCATTCCCCCCTCCCTCTGGCATCTGGGCTACTGGCTGTGCTACGTCAACAGCACCGTCAATCCCATGTGCTACGCCCTTTGTAACAAGACTTTCCAAAAGACCTTCCGTATGCTCTTACTTTGCCAGTGGAAGAAGAAAAGGATTGAGGAGAAACTTTACTGGTATGGACAAAACTCTGTGGTCAGCTCCAAACTGACATGAACTATTTTTTATTCTAGGATAATGGCTGTTAGGTATGTTTCTTTCTATTGTTAATGTAAGCTTCATGAACTTGAATTGTACCCAGTATCAAAAGTATTAAAACTGTGTCAAGGAACTGGTACAATTTGCAATGTTCCTCATTAATCAGTTGTTCTGCTATAGTGGATGTTTATAACTTTGGAAATGGAAGACATTATAAAAGTGCCCCAAAACAAACAGTGACAGTGTAAATATATTCTAAAACGTAAAAATCCAAAATAGATGTGCTTATGCAGGATATGCCATCAATTAATACTGAAATTATTTTACACAGACCGTTGTTGTATTCAAGATGCACAGTTTAACATCTGTATCATATCAAATTGCTGCAACCCTTTGATAACTCCTGTATTGATGCTCTTACACCCAAAAAGTCAAAACACATGCAAATGTATTCTGTTGGTATTTACATTTTTTTATTTGTATTGAGAATGCACATTTTAAAGTTGCTATTTTAACTTAAAGGACTAATACATGTTTTCCTAAGGTCAGAACCTGCTTGCATAATCAAGATTGTAACTTTTAAAGGATATTTTTTTTGCGTTCAAATATAGTATTTTCTTCCTCTGAATTAATGTAGCTTAGTAAATATGTCATCATATGTTCATTGTACTTCTGGAAAACGTGTAATGTACTGTGGCAAATAAAATGCTATTTGTGAAATGTTCCTTCGTGTAAGCATTGGATCAGAGATGACGTGGAAAAAAATGTACATGTGTCATAAGCTATAATGCCATGAACACTTTTTGTAATTGTGATGAATCTGCACTTGCAATTTGGGGAGTTATGAGACCTTTTGCTTCATGTATTGACATGGTGATCAATGGAGCTAAAATGTACTGCATTTTTATACTGTATTTCAATGTTGTGATTCTTTTTTTGTTCTTTTCAGTATTTTGTGATCCTGTCCATGCATTTCTGAATAAAAGTGGTAAATTGCATGTCCAGCACAAAGAAAAATGTCCTTAAAAAAACTAAACTCCTGGCCCTCAATAGTTGCCAAATCCTGGTTCCTCATAGCTCATCCTTCTTGCAGTCTCCACTTTGAATCAGTTTAACTGTGTCTGAAGGTCTCACCATCATCCATGCATACTTGCACAGTCGCTCCTTATTGCAGTCCTTCTGCCAGTAGATAACATTCCTGCGATTGAGGTTGGCACCAGCACACGCGTCGTACCACCAACCTCCTCCCGGCACCCCCTGAAACTCCAGCTTAGCACAATTTTGGAAGTAGTTGTCATTGTCTCTGTCTTTAGTGGTGAACCGCTGGTTGTCATGCAGGTAGTTCTCTGTGTCCAGGGTCAGAGCGTCAATAGCTGAGCCCTGGAACAAGCCCAGCCTCAGCCTGTATGCTGATGATTCACCCTCCACCAGGAATGGATCATACTCCCCCGTTTTAGTGACGGCCTCTCGGTCCACTAGTTTTACTCCCAGTTTGTAGCGCCCAGGGCCACGGGTGAGCTGATGAATGTATTCGTTTCCGAGCCAGTGATCACCAGTTACAGCCCCAAAGCCATTCTTGTACTCAGCCCAGGTACGATCGAAATCCACACTGCTATTGACGGTGATATGCTGCACCACGGTCCAGCCTCCCTCCTGCATGGCACAATAGGCCACGATTCGGAGGTCACCTGGTTGGATCAGGTAAACCCCGTCTCTGGCCTTGCCCGAAGAGGTCATCAGCATTTCATGGCAGTCTCTGGGCAGCACTGTTGGGTAAATGTATATTTAAGTCCTGACTGGTGATTGATAGATTAGGTATGATAAACAGATGGAACAATCAACCTTCATGTATCCTTAGATGATTACATTTTTAATATCAGGAGCCTGTTTGTCTCTCTTTGTATCACTTTGGAGAAAATGTGTCTCTCTTTGAAGTCATTGTGTTTCTTTGGGTGCTTCTTACTCTCTTCCTTATTGGTACTTGTCACATTGAGTAGGATTTTTGAAGCAGAGCTGCCCCTCAAATTGTGGTCGCTAACTTGCTTTATTGCGATTAGATTAGATGCAAAGATAAAGCACTGCATTGTTTTAGGGCAGCTGGTCGCTGATTGTGGATCTTGTAACTAATCTTTGTGCTAAGAAGCTAACAGGCTGCTAGATTTAGCTTCAGATGCATCGTACACATTGGTCAAACCTCTAAAATGTAGCTCCCTGCAATACATTAAATAACTATATTTCCGGAAAATTCTAAGTGTAAATTATTAATCTTTGCAACCACTTTTTGAACAATGTGATAACATCCGTATCTAGACCTCCAGGTGGCAGCGTAAAACACTACACTGAGCCATTGGAAAGCAATGCCAGTGATTAGTCATAACATTGATGTCAACAGCACAGCACTATTTCTCAATTCCTCCCAGGTAAACATGTTAAACCTTGATCAATTGCGAAACTATTACAACTGTTTGTCTGAAAAATGATCTCACTAAGATGCACAAATCACATCACGGGACATAACACTTATCATGAATAAGTCACTAAACAAGTTAGGTTTGGAATTTGACCCTCACTCTTTGGATAATCCACACTGATAATCTAAGATAAAAGTAATTAAAATGATTAAAGCAATCACAGGACACATAGTGCATAATATATCTCTATTTTTAGCTTGAGTTTTCAATATTCTGCACAAGTTATGACCATTTCAAATTCCCAACAACTGCAAGCAAAGTCCGTTACTGACATCAAGCAGCAAAAAGAACTGAAAGTAAAAGTCTGCACAAATAAATACCTCTCATTCCACCGTTCAGCACCAAGTTGTGCTCATCAGGGGGAAGAAGATTTAGGTTTTCAGCTTGGAGGTACTCCATGTCGACTCCAGCCACACTGAGCAGCACCAGGATCGCTGCTAGCAGCCAGCATCTCACACACTGCATCCTACACTTTCCTTTGCTGTCAAACCAACAGTTAATAACACAGCACTGTACGCTTCTTACTGAATTCAGTGTACTAAATGAACAGAACACTAACAAGGTGTAGTGAAAAAAGCCTTACCTTCAAGGACAACCCTGTATAACATATGTTGTTGTATTTACCCAAATCTTCCACACTTCCACTGTATTAATCTCCACTTGTTGAATGAGAATCACTGGAATGCATGCAGGGCTGTTGGCTGCTGAGAGTTCACTGATTGCAGGTCCCTTCACAAAGCCTTCTACTGCAGTCACAGCTGGACTTCAGCCTCAGTTTAACATCCCAATGAAAACTACCAACCCTCCACTTATCTGTGTCATGGGGGATAAAGCTACATGTAAATGGGGAGATATGATCTATGTAAACACTTATCTCTGCTCTACTTAAATCACTTCAATAGCAAATGAAACTGAAGTTCAGATGAGACTGAATTGTAGGGATTTAACAAATGTGTTTTGTTTATCTGGAAGTGTATTCCTTTAACTTTGCTTTAACTTAAGGTAAAGAACAGTGTTGTTAAAGCCGCTGCAGTTTCAGAAGTAAAACCACTTCTCCTGCTGAAAAAGGGGATTTATAGACGTTGCCTTGGATGTACCAAATATACTTCAACAACAAACTTTACATTTACTGTAAATTACACATTTTATTTATCATCAATGGTTCAATCAAAGAAGATAGACCCAAACGATATATCAGTATAACAATTTTACATTCAGGACACAATCCGAGTTTCTTTGACATACATTAACTCTCATTGATCATATGATTACAGGATCCCACTTTGACAATCAAGTTAAATTTGCAACAAGATTACATTTGTATTGCACATTCTCAGTATTTAAACTTTTCAAGTTTATCATCCAGTCAATAAATACATCACTACAGATGTCCTCTCAGGACAGGTACAGTACAAGCTCAAAGGTACTTTTCCATAGAAACAACATCAGCTCCAAATGATTCTGCGAAAGGTTTTTTAGGAGGCTGCTCCTGGAGAAGGATCTTTTGTGCATTTCCTTTTTGCCGTCAGGTTAGTTGGGACAGGAAGGAGTCAATGACCTTAGGGAGAAAGATCATGATGTAAGACTAAGACCTTTTTAGATTAAGAAAAGTTGTCAGGATTTTATTCGTACATGCAGTACTGACCTTTGCCATGTCTCCAGCAGGTCCTGGAACAGATTTCAGTAAAGGTTCCTGAAACCATAACTCCAATAACTGCTGATTAAATGCCTGGAAATTTCTGAAACAAAGTACAAATACTTTACCACTTTGTTTTTGAAAATAGTGGCACATTCTGGCTTGTATTAAATGGTAGATGGTATTTTATATGTTTTATTTTATTAAATGTGTCCTAATGATTTTGGTATGCTTTAACAAGACAACTTCACATGAATCTATGCAGAATTAATCAGTCTGAAGTATCATACAACTCATAAAACTGCACTTACTTATCCATTGGAAGCTTTGTTGATCCACTATAGCCGCTTGTTCTTAATTCCTCACACCAGCTGTTCAAAACTGAATTAATCCACTTTAAACCAACTATGATATACCTGTGAGAAAAAAGAAATATCTTAATGTATTAGTACTTAATTTATTCTATTATCCTTACACATACTGTTGATTTCTGTAAGTGCTCAATGCATTTTATTCTGTAATAATTCAATTCTATTGCAAAACTAGAAGTACATTTCACCAGAAACACTCACTCTTCGTATGGATTGGTTAGAACTCTCCTTACTAAAGGAAAGAGGTCAACACAACAGCCAATGGTGACCTCCTGGGAATGTTCTTCAATGCTGAAAAGAAAATTAGATTAACTTAACATTAACTCAACTTGTAGGCAACGAGACTCAGACTTCTGCAATTATTAAGTCACTCACCTTTTGCTTATCAGTGGTAGAAAATCAACAAACACACCAATGTCTTGAATTCTGTAAAAAGACAGTTAAGTATGTCAACTTTTGAAATCATAGTGAAAATAGTGTCCCTTTGTGGAAACCAACTACACATTACATACCTTAGGAAATACATCAACAGCTCTCCAACATTTCTCTGCCATAGTGTTAAAGATACTTTCAGTCTCAGGTTTCTTCCAAAGAGCACCTCAGTCATTGTGCTATGATCCATTGTGAGCTGAAAAACATTGTCAGGTTCAGATGGTTTACCTGCATATTAGTAACAAATAAAAGACAATGCAAGAAGCAGAAATGTAGCCCGGGCTATGATAGTATTTCTAACCTCAGTGGTACAGTCGTCGGCTTGTTCAGAACCAGTTCTACCGGTCTTTAGGTTATTATTGACATTTAGCGGGAACTCTGAAGGGTTCATGTAAAATCCCTCCTGTTGAACGTCCTTCCTGCAGTCCATGCCATTCTCCTTGTTTGCAGCATTATTAGTCTTCCCAGTCCCATGCTGCTTCCTCCGAGGCACCGTCAGATGATGGGTCTTTCTCTTACATGAGACTACCCGCTTTACTCTCCCCGGGTTGCTGGAACGACTCACTGGATTCCTGGTCATGATAAAAAGTTCAATCTTTACGTTGAAAACAAGTCCCATCATGCCTTATATGAAAATGTAACCAAAAAACATGCATGACCTACCTCTTTTTGCTAAATTCCTCACTTTTATCTTTATCGACCTGCTTGTAAAGATATTGCATGGTGATAAACAACACAATTATAAGCAGTAAAAGAGGACCAGCCTATTACATTACATTGCATTTAGCTGACGCTTTTATCCAAAGCGACTTACAATAAGTGCGTTCGACCATAGAAATATAGAAATAAATGTGTGTATATCAATGTGTCAATCTACTCACATTTGTTGTGTTTCTACCATGAGGATACTTCACTCTGTACTGGGCTGCATCCTGTTTCTGGGCATGTTTAAGACTTTGGTAGTCTCCGTCTTCACTGTTAGAGTCGTTAGAGTCCATTATACCTTAAGAAAGAGAAGGCCATTTTAAGCAGCTATAATACATTGTTATAGCCTACCTGATTAAACAAATACAAGCACACAGTCAGATTATCATGGTCAACACCCATTATAGTTTGTGTGTCTAAAATCTATCATTCACATCATTCATGTTGTATTTTGTTCTTTCTACTACACACCATATACATTCTATGGTCTACTATTCTACAGGCTTAACCACTACTATTTCCCACAATCCGCGTGGGCATTGTTGTGCTGTGACGTAACCAGGAAGTACTCCCGACGGCGGGACAAAGATAGTTTGGTGAGTGTTTTTAATATAACATTTAGCTAACTTATCCTTGTCAGACAGTGTTTAAGCGTTTGGAGAGGCTTATTCAGTATCTTTAAAGTGCAGGGGTTGTCATGTACAACATACAAATACGTTTTACTTGTCGTAACGGTATATTTGGCGTAACGCTACACACGTTGATAACAGAGGTTGGAATTCGCCAGCTATAAAGCTTAATAAACCGACTAAACACAAGTTACCACGGGTTAACGTTACAATCATTGGTCTATGAAACTGCTTTAAGATTCAAATCACAACAGCGTCGATAGAAGACGAATAACTTGTCCTAAATGATTTGCTTACCTCTTTCCATTCCTCATCAGAGACAATAAAGAGTTAAACCTTCCTTGTATCTCTTTTAATCGACTGCCAACATACTGTTAGTAACAACCGATATCAACTGCCGCCCATTGTCAGAGAATAAAGCATCTATTCATAATGCAGTTTGCAGGTAGCACCCTCTAGCGACTACTGAGATATCAATGGTGCAGATTACAAAATCAAATACTATGTTAAAGGGGTAGATTTGATCTAAATGTGTTGTTTTGAGTCTTCTAGTCAGATGAGGCAGTTAAGAAATGATAATGAGTTTGACTGGCATTGTGTTTTGGCTCAAATCAAACTTGCTTTTGTCCCTTGTGGTTAATGACCCTGAGAGTGCCTTTTCTCTGATCAGTCAGGCATACAGTATCAGCTGTTCACCTTAGCACTTTATTGATCAGAGGCAAGTTGTGGCTTGTGGAAGCTAATCCCTGCTGTACTTGAACTCACTTTGACTTCCCTGAATGCACAATGAAAAACAACATCAGCTGCTTTTATTGTCACATCATCTGTTCTCTGCTGCTGACTCTGCGCTTTAAGTTCTGCATTTCTCATCCCACAGGTTGTCATTTTAAAATATTGATCCTCTTGGTTTCACATCAATAGACACTGTGTCATGTGATGTCTGCATGGAAGCTTTTAACATCATGTGATTAGAGCTACAAGATGATTTGATGTCCTGGGTGTGTGTTGCTTCTCTATCCAGGCTGTCGTTCCTGTATTCAGTCTCAAAATGGTTCCTGTTCATGCTGCCTGTGTTTTGATGAGCCTCGTACCCCTGTTGGTGCTCGGTGTTCCTCCCATATGGACCCAGCCAGAGCAGGTTCACCTCTCCTATCCAGGTTAGTGTCAACTGTTTCCATCAGCCTCATCATTTGTTTTCCTTTGAGGGATACACTTTTCCTCTCAGCAATACAAACCAGTATCCAAGTCATATGGATTCACAGATGTTCTGTACAAATCACTCAATAATATAAAAACTGAAAGCACTGGTATGTTTTGGCAGCTCAACATTGGATACTGAAGATATGCAACAGGTTCACAAAAGTTTAGATTCAGTTTCAGTGACCTTAATATTAACAAAAAAGTCTGTGTGATTCATGTAATGGATTATGCAGCAATACTACCTCGAGAATGATGATTTGTTTATCATTATCTCAGCTCGTGTGGAATTTATGAAAAACATTTTCTTTTCTTACATGCACCCACAACAGAAATGTCTTCATGAATTGAAGTAAATAGCTCAGAATTAACAACCTCACATGCAACTCATCTATGTCAGCACTATATTTTGTGAATAGTAAGTTAGTAGATATAGTAATAGTACGTTTGAGCAAAAGTGAGCATACGACTGGATAGATGAGACTTTGATTATACCGCAGAAGTGTGTGAGAGTTTATACAAATGTTTTTGATATAGCTTGGCTGTTGTAATACATGGCCCAGTTGTTATAAAGTAATACAAAAATTGACATTTATCCAAGAAAAACTAAGTTTTCTACACAAATCCAAGTTAACACAGGGCTGATAATTGACATAAAGCTGAACTTCGCTTTAGTGCATCTTTAAGGTTTATTTAATGCAACAGCAACATCCCATTTAAGTGTCCTGTTACTTGAAAACACCACCTGTGCACTTTGTGTAAGTCATTTAGGTTAGAGACACCAAATAATGGCCTTACCCTTTATTCAAATAGCTGATGTTACTCCTTGTTTCAAACAGTCTCTGCGGCATAGCCCATGAAGGTGAACTGTGGTATTCATGAAATGCGTGCATGTCTTGATGAAATGAGTACGTGGCCTGTAGTCTGCTTATCTGCCAGCGGCAAGATCACAAGGACCACTTGTGCAAAGTCAGCCTTTTCATAAGCATCTCTTAGGTTTTATAGATGCATCAGTAAGTGAATCCAGTTGTTCAGTCAGGTCAATCCACATCACAATTCCAATGATTGGGCTTTCTTTCACAGGAGAGCCAGGCTCTATGGGAGTGACCTGGACCACCTTGAACAAGACAGAGAGCGTGGTGGAGTATGGCCTTATGGGAGGTCGGCTCTTTGACATGAGTGCCAAAGGCGACGCTACGTTGTTTGTGGACTCAGGAGAGGAGAAGAGGAAGATGTACATCCACAGAGTCACGCTCACAGGCCTCAAACCTGCTGCTACGTATGGTGGGTGGACCTTTGATATTACTCTGTTTTCCACATTCTGTACCATAACTCATGTTAAAGATGTGTTCTCCTCCTGTGCACTTTCAGTTTACCACTGTGGGAGCGATGAAGGCTGGAGCGATGTGTTCTTCTTCACTGCTCTGAATGACAGCGCTAGCTTCAGTCCCAGGTTTGCTCTGTATGGTGACCTGGGCAATGAGAACCCTCAGTCTCTGGCTCGGCTGCAAAAGGAGACGCAGCTCGGCATGTACGATGTCATCCTGCACATAGGTAAGATCCACACGGATGGAAATATTACAACAATTCGAACTGTGAAAGCTGCCAAGAGTTATTAAGATTTAGCAGCTGTTGCCTCAGGCTGCAGTCATACACAGATACCTGGCACAGCGTGCAATAGATTGTGGTAACGCAAATAAAATCCACTCAAGTAGTATATTTATCATTATAGAAATTAATGTTTCGTGGTTGTTTTGCTTTTGAATAATATGTGCTGGATGCCGAATTGTGATCGACCAAATCCCTGGCGCTACAGCTTTTGGCTCCTGTCTTTTATTAAATGCCAGGATAATACAATGACAGCATAATTTATCTTTGCATTTCGTTGGTTTATCAAATGAAACACCAAATGAAACGCTTGTTTAAGGCCACTTCACACGTTTGCAGAGAATATAATTAATTGAATTGCCTCATAAAGTGGGATCACAATTTAGCTTGTGGCTAACGCTAGCCCAATGTTTATTTATTAAACGTATAGTTTGGTTTTTGGAAAATGTTAGATGAGAAAACAGATGCCATTCTTATTAATGTACACTTTATATAACCTTTAGCCAACAGCAGATAAGATTAATTTGGGGGATGAATATACAAAGTCGTAATATATTGAGATCACTAAAAAAATCCCAGCATGCAACTCCCTGTAAAAGATGCACGTTGTTTATCACATTTATTTTACAGATTAGCTGTAACTTCATAGATTATAGACAGATCTTTACCTATTTTTCCAGTCTTTATGCTAAGCTAATTTAACTGCATTATTTTAAGCATACGAGTGGCATTAATCTCATCTAACTCTTAAAAAAAATCATAAAGCAAATTTACCAAAAATCTACCATTTGCTTTTTCATATAATAAAAGAATAACACATTTTTTGGGTGGGAACTCATTTTGGCATAGTGCACCCGAGGTATTCATTATCTATACTGTGGGAAAGTAGCAGTCCTAACAAACACTTCCTTCTAATCTGTGGACTTTTGTTTTGTTTTACAGGGGACTTTGCCTATGATATGCACGAGGTATTTTTACTCTTCTATAATTTCAATATTATGACCTCTGATGTGCCAATATAGGTTACTGACCGCAAATTTCTTTCATCGATAGCGTATATTCTCAAAGCCACTCAGATTTTCCACTAATTCCACAGTGACAGATGAGATAAGCCATTTTGCCCTTCTCCTCTGCCTCCACCTCGAGACTCTCCACTGTTTATTATTGGTTCATATTAAGGCCCTCCGCTGTGGTTAAGACACACAGTTTAGGATTAGCATTACTGTGAGATGCCGTAAGCCTGTGGTGAAAGACGAGAGTCAGGGTCATATCGCCAAAGTATTTCTTGAATAAAATAAGTGCCATTTCAAACCTCAAACTTAAGTCCCAATAATATATTTGCTCATTGTCTCCCTGTCATCTGTGATATTAGGCATAACCTTGTCTTCGATGGTCATATCATTTTTCTTCAAATCCTGCATTATTCGTGCGAAATGCTAAATGTAATCAGCAGACTACGGCAAACATTAATAACCATAATTCATCCAAGATGTGTTTTTTTAGCTGGAATGTGCACGTACATTCTGTGGCCTCACTGATATTGTAAATAGAAAAGCAGAGAAAGGGAATATTGTGTGATGGGTCATTATGTTTGCGGCAGGTACGAGCCGTGAGAACAGCTTTTAACCACAATGTGTATCTAAGAAAGAAATAGCCTCTATTTTAAGTGAGGTTTGTCGGCTATGCATTCCTGAAGCCGTCTGGAAAATTGACTTGCATAGTTTAATCTAATTTGGAGAAACAATGTTATCCCATGGGAAAAATCATTGTCGTCATGTAGTAACCCCATATTGTCAATATTCCAGGATAACGCCAGGATCGGAGACGAGTTCATGAGGCAGATCCAGTCCATAGCCGCCTACGTGCCCTACATGACCTGTCCCGGCAACCACGAGTCCACATAGTAGGTGGAAGTTAATTATTTGATTTGATTTCACCTGTATTCATTAAAAAAAATCGCTTTTAGTGAAGGATTAGTTTGGATTTATTTCAAGTGGGATTTGATGTGGTACTTATCCAGTGTATGGCCTACAGCAGGCCTATTCAACTGGCGGCCCGCGGGCCAGATGCGGCCCAGAACCAACTCCCGAGTGGCCCATCCTCCCGTAGCCAAATTCCTACACTAGTACAGACCATGAACGCAACACTCCGCGTTGCATAGAAACCACCAAACCACAACGCAGCATGTTTTTTGAAAGTGCATCTAGTGGTGCTAGTAACGGTGGTCCTATGATAGCAACTCTAAAACATGTCTCTCTCAACTCTGAAGCGTAAACAGAGACAAAACGGTCATTGATCTTGTGGAGCAGATCCAAGTCAAGTTGGACCTTTTCGCGACCGACTTGAGCACGGGTCGGATGCTGCATTTTCCGACGCTCCCCAAACACATCACATCTCCGGCACAAATCACGGATGTGATGACAGATTTCATTGCGAGGTTGAAAGAGAACTTTGCCGGTCGATTGGATGACTTGCTCTGCCCACAGAGGTGATGGGCTTTGCCAGAGACCCCTTCACTGTTGCAATAGAGGGGGACGTATCAACCAGAGCAAAGGAAGTGGTCCCCTGCATCGACAAGGGGAAATATACACTGGAACTAATTGACATGCAGCGCACTAACGGGCCAGCGAAGTTTTGGAGTGATGTCAAAAAACAGCAGTTCCCTAACGTTCAGAAAGTAGCGATCTGTGTGCTCAGTATGTTTGGATCAACATACACATGTGAATCAAGCTTTTCACACATGAACTCAATCAAAAGTAGCACTCGCTGCTCCCTGACTGACAGCACTCTTCACCAATGTCTTAGGATTGACATCCTATGAGCCAAAAATCACTGCTCTTGTTCAAAACAAAAAATGTCACTTCTCCCATTGAGAAAGTCAGCGATGAAAAATCACAAATGAGGTGATAGTAAGCACCTAGTTTACTATAGTAGACGTGTAGTGTAGTATTCATTCATATAGTTACCCGTATCCCTTGTTATGGGTTTGTGCACTGAAGGGTAACTTGACAGTTCTTTCTGTATTCATTTAAATGCACTTTGTAATGTGTCTGGGTCAAATGTGAC